ATGACGTAGTTTCTTGTATGTATTTTATGTTTAACCTTAGTCTAAACCCTCTTAAGTAGAGGGTGTCTTGTACACAGAATCCGGTCGTAAGATGTTCTGTCTCCATCTCTCTCCACCGTTCTAGGCGACAGTAACCTATTTTATAGTTCAAAATCGACATACTGACATCTATCCCGTTGCGTGACACCGTTCAATGCATCAAGTGATAACTATGCTACGACACAGCAGTAAATACTAGAACAATGGCTAACAGGAATGTATAGATTTGTTCATCTTATTTCTGTAATATATAACCAGATGAATTATTTCAGAAAGTACGGTTTGTTTTAAGAAAACTCGGCCTCTTTTTGTAATATTTGATAAAACAAACATCTCCTACAGCATACGAAAAATACCTTCATAATATCGTGCAGTCGAACCTGAATACTGAATGAATATACGATAAATTGATCACGTACTCTTCGCTGATAAGTTAGAACTTGTGAAGATATATTAATCCTGCTGGATTAGGCGGAGGATAGGCTGCCGTGCGATATTGAAAATCTTCTAGCATCCTTATCGATTCATTCTTCACTAGTAAATTCTCTATACAAATAATTCCGTTGTATCAAATCCTAAGATCATTAGCCTATTATGAGAAGTTGGTAGAATTCTTACTACTGAATATTTATTTGCCTGGAGAAAGCAACAAATGTTCCCAGGTCGTTGACTTTTAGAAATACGGACCAGGCCTCTCTTAGATGCAAGGCAAACACTCTGCAGTTGAGTAAACCTGTTCGGTGCCTCTTTACGTATCTCAACATATTGTGAAAAAAACAGCAGTCTTACCAGAGAACATCAATTTGAACAGGCTACTTGTTCCGCTCGGGGCGGTGAACACCCAGCTAGATTGATGAGTTGCTTTTCTGGGTTGTGACGCCATATCGACTCGTAGGCCGATCCCAACACTTATGAGGAACATGTTGTCTCCGAAACGTTGGTATATACGTATAAGTCTGCACGGTGCCACGGCCCAGAAGAACAATACCATATGTTGCGAGAACCTTAAATCTCACACAGCTAACTGGATTGGCTGATCCAAGCACATAACATTGTTTATTTGTACTCAGTAACAGATTGTACATTTTTTGTGACGGACGAACTTATATGAATTATTATGCTTAAATTATACGGTAATTAACAGCTACCGAAACGCATCCGTGCACACTTAACGCGTTGCAATTTCAGTACAGTAAGTGCAATGTCCACAGGGCGAATTCATTAAGCCAACGAAGTGTCCCTGAGAATTTTTTCGGGATTAAACCTCAGGCTTATCAGATCTCTGACCTGAAACATAAGCTTCACGCTTCGGTCATCTTGAACCGAAGAGATTTCCCCAATACGTAATGGACAGCCGGCGAGTTGCCTGCTGACGTGCCGGTGTCACTTGTGACTAATCTTGAGTCAAGCCGTGTTACTGAAACGGCTGTCACCTACCAAAAGTTGATTCGGTGCTTTCAAGAGGTGAAGCTGAGTTGGGCAAACGTTCCGTTTCAGTGATCTGCCTTATCAGTGAAGCATTCAGATGTTGATCTCTCACTGATCCAACCACTCAGTCACTTCCTCACGCTCAAGGTGTATTTGTCTTCAACATTTACACAGCAGCTGCTAAATATAGCCTACTGTTGTATTATTGAGTGACAACATGTTTCGACATAGTTTTGTCATCATCAGGCTGTTAATTTGTGCGCAACGTAAATATTAACTAACTCTGTGAAGCAGAGTCCGTTCGATAATCTGATAATCGCTCAGGTAGTCAATAAATTGCCTGCTGTTTATGTAGCCTGCCACTGGTCCCTATCTTGAGTCAGATGCATACAGTCTACACTCTTCTGCCCTTTGTCCTTAAGATCCACTTTAATATTATCTCTCCCTCTACGTTCAGGTATTCCGAGTGGTTCTTAACTTCAGGTGTAGTGTAAATACTGGGGCCCAAATAGGAGCAATTCTTATGTAAGCCAAGTTTATAAAATAAAACCATATTGATGTTTTTCTCAAGGTATTTGTCGAAGGAAAATGTTCAAAAATACGCACCAGTTTGCCAAATGAAGTCAGTAAAAGTTAATAATTATATGAAATTACCAACATTACAAGTTTATAATTTGCAGGTGTGGGTCATGATCAGATGAAAATTTGTTGAACTGCTCGAAAGAGTTCATTACTTGTAACAGCAGTTTACAAGTTTTTGTGTATAATTCAAAGTTGTTTATTTAGAGATGCCTCTTCAACTGCTAACTTTAAGGCACTGTCCCAGAATTTCTATGAAGAGAAATTAGGGAAACCATAACACATTACTCAACTCCTCACGCAAGCTTATCCTCAATGATTTGATAACATGAGGTGACCAGCACAAATTATGGAGCTCCTTGTTATTCAGTTTTCTTTAGCATCTCGTTACTTCATCACTCCTAGGTCCAAATAATCTCTTAAGCATCCCGTTCTCAAATGCCCTTAACCTGCGTTCTTTTTTTAACGTTGAAGACCAGGTTTTATTCTCGTACAAAACAACACGCAATATTACAGTTTGGTATCTTTTATCTACCACTGGCATATGGGTCTACACAAAACGAATACTTTTCACGTGAGGCTGTCTCGTGAGACTATATCTCCGTACCCCGGAAAAGTTATCTTCCTCGGAAATGTAGGCCTAGAGAGTGGCAAGCAATTTCCTATCAATATCCTTCAGATACACAGAAAACTGAATAAAAATTGCTCGAGTTGAATAAAAATATAAATTTCACTACGAATATGAAATAAAAATTGAAGCAGATTTCGCCGGATATCCGTTCCGTTATAGCGTATGTCCTGTCGACCTCATTTTACTTCAGTTCTTGATTATGACGTTCATTAGTATTTATCCATGCGCGCCCTTTAATCTCGCAGCTCTACATTCTAGCATGTCACAGATTACCGTTACATTGCATCGTACAAAATGGAAGCGCGCCCATTTACCTGCACAACACGCTGCCACATCGTGGCAGATTCTCTTTAAACCGTCACTCACCTGAACGAGAAAAGCGCAAAATCGACTCCTATCAAAACAAGTGATGATTTTTAGCCAATTGTGTTCAGTGGTTTACTGGTATTTAGAATCCGCTGATATGTCTGAAAAGAATTCCAGAAGTTGATGATAACATTTTCGAAGCGACTTTATTACAAATCAAGTGATTCCGTCAATTTAAATTAGATAACAAGCATTTGAAGTGTCTGCGTTGCTTCAAGTACCGTTACTTTAAAAAAAAACTGGAACCTAAATTAATATGCTGGAACTTAAACAAATTTGTTGCAAATTTTTGTATTTATTTATCCACTGTTGCCAAACCTCCATTCCTGTTGCCCGTCCTTCTGAAATCTCATTACCGCAGTGAAACAAAAGACGACTTTTTTGTGGTTTTTGTTGTAACAGGTTTACATTTCTTCTTTTATGCAAGTTAATAAAGGAAGTGGATTACTTTTGCAAAGCTGAAGCAGCCTATATAATGATACACAATATTTGCAGCTGTCTTTTAGAGTCAAAGTTGTTCTTTACGCTTTGATATTTGTCCAAAATTTTGTCAGAATGTTGTCAATGAAGCGACGGATTGGGGTTATGAGCATCGTAGACGAAAATGTTTAAACTACAGTACTAAAAGCATTTCGTAATCTGTAAGAACGTGCTCCATCGTTCAGAGAATGTCTGGACTTGATTCTTTGCAGCAGACTTTGTTGTAAAATCAAGGATTTTAGATGGGCGCGGCATGTAGAAAACATGGGAAATATGAGAAATGCATACAATATTTTAGCCTGGAAACCTGATGGGAAAGGAGCAGTTGGGAAAACTGTGCATCGATGGACTAGATTCAGTTGACTTGCTATTGGGTCCAGTGGTGGGTACTTGGGAGTAAGGTAAGGAACACCCGGTTTCCATAATCGGCGGGAAGGTTCTTGAGCAGCTAAGCGACTGTCAGCTAATATTGCGTCCGTCTCTTTTCTGGAGTGCACCCTGTTATGTTATGTACAGGTCTACAGAGAAATGTAAGGATATCGTCAGTTGTGGATGTTATTATGAAATTAGAAACTCAGTTTGTTTTATCGCTCGATATTAATTTTCGAAAATAGATTTGCTTTTCCACGTGAAATCCCTGAAATCGTACAGAGTTTCGCTTTTTTGTATTCGATTGTATATGATTCCCTAACGTTGAGGACTGGTCTTAACGTGAATTAATTTGTAACCGAAGAAAATTAGACGGGTATTGTCTGGTGCGGTCTTAGAGTCCTTCATTTCCAGTCTGTTTAAAAGTTGGAACTTTCGCGGGCTTTAAATGTGCCACGGACTTGAACAGGAGCATTACTTTGATAAGTTCGATGAAGCCTATAACCGTAAGACGACGATATGTAGCTTAATATCTTGAAAAGAAATCTTATTCAGTGATAATACCGATGTTCTCCTTGAAGAATACACTCCCATCTAACTCATATTCAACTATTTGTGTACGCGATAAATGAAATTGGTTGGAATTAAAAAAGATATTCCGCAATTCTTGAATACAACGCTGAATGTTAAAATGTGAATGGACAAAATTTAATTAGCTGCTCATATATATGCCAGAGTCCTTAACATTTTACTTGTGGATAAAAAGTAATAGACAGGCTATAAAATATTCTCAAGATTTTATTTAGATTTTGCCGAGTGCTTAATACAGAAGCGTACTTTTTAATTTTCCAAAGATGGCCAGAATGTTTTTTCTTGTTTACTTACTGTCTTAAGCAGGAATAAATGCACTATAATAATTTTTTTTACTATGTTTCACTTATTCATGTTAACATAATTAGTCGTATGCTCTTGTAGAATCAATTACTAGTTTAATTTAAAGGAAGATTAACTGAGATTATTGCAATAAAGTCTTCATTAGATTAAATTATATTATGCATTATTGCCGGATTATTACCATTAATACTGTATAAAACAATAGTAATCATACCTTCTTGATGGAAAAATTCTGAACTGCAATTGAAATGACAAGTGGGCGAATTCGCGCCTTGATGCTGATGGCTCACTGATCACCTCTCGACTGACCCGCAAAACAGAGGACTTGTTCGCAATAAAACCCTCACACCGCACCGTCAAGACTGATACGGCCATCTACAGTGAACAGGACGAATCTCTCGTGCTCCTAATTGTAACACGGTATCCATGGAGGATGAAATGGAGTGAAAGAAATTGAGAACACCTGTGCATAAATTAAATGCGCGTAGTTAATAGTGCAGCAAGATATTCGATTTTTCCGTGACTCTGGTTGGCCTATGCCCTTGGACTGGTCTTCCTCTTAAGGAGATGGTCTGGCCGATAGAAAAGAGGCCCAGACAAAAGATGTATGTGTTCTGGGATGTCGCGCCGTGTTGTGTGGTACACATTAGCAGACGTTTCAGAGGTGCTCACTGCCTTCATCGTCAGGGCGATACAGAGAACCAGAGATGGAGGCTGCATCAGGAGGGACAACGTGGAAGGGGCCAGAATGGAAGTTAGAACGAAGGGAGAGTCTGACCATTCTCTACAGTTTGGGCAGAACACGAGGAGAGGGAAAAAAAACACAACCCAGAAGACCAACATCGACATCCTCGCCGCCTTGAGAACCACAGCATGAAGTTCGTCGTACCGATATTCTGTTCCAAGAGAAGGAAATGTGTCGTGACGACGATGCCTTACAGACTGTGAGCTTGAGGAAAACATTTTCAACATTTAAATGGCGCGTTCCGTCGTTACGTATTTCTGAATTGTGCGCACATTAAAAGGACGGCATTTCCTTGTTACATAATCTCTTTTCTACATGGCTGAGACTGATTGCTATAATTTTACTGACACAGGTACGATGTAACGGCCTTGATCCGTTTCTGAGGCAGTTTCATTCACGAGCAGTCACGTGCACAAGCGCACAATAAATACCCACGTGAATTCGAATTTGTGTGATAGGCAGTGAACACAACGCCCCAATGGAACGGTCCGAGGAGAGTGATGAGTGGATTTATGAAGTAAAATTTAAGCATTCCTTTGAACACAAAAAATGCCCTGATAACTCCATGGAACAGAGTTCTTCTTGAGAAGTCAGTAGTCGCTGAGCTGCTCAAGAAATTGTCTGCCTTTCTGTTGATGTGATCATAGGAAGCTGCCATTGGACCACATCCTGAGCCAGCCGAATCGAGTCCACAATCTCACTCCGTATTTTCGTAAAAGTCGTCATAACATTATTCTCTCATCTATGCCAGTCTCCCAATTGGTCTCTATCACCAGGTTTACCGACTAAAAAATATATATTTTTCATTTTTCGCTTGATGTCTACAAGTCCCGTTCATCCAGTCCTCATTGATTTCATTAAACTAATAATATTTGGATAATAGCTCATTTTTTAAGTATTAGTGAAAATTGAAAGGCGGATGAAATGAGCATCCTTGCTTCGTCTTTGGGATGTCCCGGGTTCAAGTGCCGGCACGGAGACCCGCTAACTTGACTCAGGTGTTTCTCATTTCTTCCAGGCAAATTCCAGAGAGGTTCCATCTAAACAAAATTTTGAGTAGAGAATAACTTATTCTTATTGCCGTGGCTTACAACATGATAAAATTGTACTGATCTTACATAACTAAGGAATAGGCCTAAGGGAAACGTTTTATGTAAAACTATATGTAAATGGGAGAATAAAATAAATAATGTATAATTATAAATGGGGTTACAAGAAAGGAGGGTAGCCCTGTTTAGCTGCTGTAGTCTTTTACTTAAGAGAATCAACTTAATAAATTATCCAATGTGTAAACAGGACCGATAAAAGTTTAATCTAATTGATTAGAATAAGTTATAAAATAACCTTCAAAGAATATTAGATTCATCATTTCAGGACATATTTACAGTCAACTGTATTGATCTGATGTAGATAATGTTCTGTGGGTACGGCCGTGTTCGTGTGATCTGTAATGCCTTCGTTTCGTAGATTATTATTGTCTGCATACTCAGTGGGTAACCACCGCCTTGATGAAATGGACAATGATTTCCGAAACGTCGTATAATACATCGTGTCCTCACCCAAAGACAGGATTCATATAGGCAGTATTTAAAGGAATAAGCAGCAGGTATGAATTTTGTGTGTAAGAGACAAGATTTAAATCACACCTCAGATTTGCGTCAATGAAATGTCTTTTTATTGTGTTCTTTCAAGACAGAACCGTGCTCTAATGGGACTCATCATGTAGATATCTTAACAAGTGTTTCGGAATTTGTGTTTAACCTCGCAAACATGAGTTACATTCGTCAAATAAAAATGTCAACCTTATCTTAGTTGCAAACTGATAACACCTTCACTCGTAGCTACTGTCAGCCACAAGTATTTGAACATATCCAGCAGAGTACACAAATGAGTAGATTTAGCAGTTCTGTCGCAGTGTCATGCAGTAACACACAGCAAATCTCATGACTCCCATAAAGGAAAAGCTGAGTTACTTAAATTTCTGGGGATGTATCAGTCGCAATTGATCAACAGATTATCCCGACACAATATAGAGATTTGTAAATGTGTTAACTGTTGAAATGAACGACGCTTTAAGTCTATTACGCCAACCTGCCAGATTTCTCTTACAATTCTTATGGAAAATGTTTACTTTGAACAGTGTTACCATTCCGTATAATTTACAAAACACTGAAGACTGAGAAACCTTATACAAATTAACAATGTTGCGAGTGATTTTGCATGACTGTGAAATGTGGTCTCTCATTTTGAGAGGAAAACGAGCAGAGAATATTTGAAAGTCAGGTGCTCAGAAAAATCTTAAATCTCAGGGAATTTTGTCGGTGGTTACCAAAATTTCAGATGAAATTACTGCCTTTACAAGCCTTTACAAGAATGCAAGGCGTCATAACCCACAAAAGTACAGTGAACATTATCAACTCCTTGAAAAATCTCAAGTATCACATAGGTCCTTATAATGTTTCGTTTGGCAATGCAACCCGAAATAAATACAACATTCCACTGTCCTATTATATTAAAGAGACATGGGTTGTATCCAAACATGCCTGCATAAGGCAGTTCCGCTTCAAGTATAAAAACATTTCTGCAGTGTTGAATTCTTTGTTGATATGCAGTTAATTCCAGGAAGGTTTTTGATAAGGAAAATCCAATAGCTAACATTTTGTCTTGTGATCTGATATTTAATTAAGGATCTTCAAGTTATTTGTTAACTTACATGACGCACGATAACAACCATACGAAAAGCTACACTTTTTATAAATATCGCTACCATAAATTCAAAACAATACGTTGAATTTCGCGTGTGTGACTTCCACCTCAGAAATCAGAACTGTTGATGGTAAAAACTAAAATTAAGAATAGGCCTGGAGGATGATTTCTAGTGTCAAAGATGTTCTCGGTGATTTCCATAAGATCATTTTATTTAGCCCAACGTTAGAATGTTGTCTGTATTGTATAAGAGTCAGCTTCGTGGTGTTTGCGCTCAGAGAAGGGATTTAAATGGACGCGGTTCACGGGGAGATCACCCTCAAATTGCGTAATGGGCCTGTGTGGTTCAGTTGGTGTTTTTCATTGTTGTCATGTTTTGAGCGACATCTTTTACGTATTTTAATAGCACAAAGTCCAGTTAGTTTTTGGTACGTGTGTTTGGTAAAGATTTCTGTTGTGTTTTCATAATTCCAAATACACTTTGTGACGTGTTGTGTGAACTAAACAGAGGGATGCTGTAGCAAGAAAGTATGAGAATGGCATAGGAGACTGACGTGTGAAAGGAATGTGAAGAAAATAGGTAAGAAAGAAGGGAAAGGGATAAAAGTGTGAAACGAATTAAGGAAGGGATTGGGCCAGGTATGAAGATACGAAAGAAATTATTCCCCGGCAATTTCGACAGGCTTTTTTACTCTAGCTTGGTGCTAATAGGCTGCATACTGGTACGTGATGATGAAATAGGCTAGAAATGAAGGGCCCAGAACACAACAGTCTTTTGAGCTGTTACACGCCGTAGGATGAGACGAGCGGGACACGAGAAGTGTAAAGAATTATATGGCCCTGTGTCGAGATTCAAACCACGTGTCTCCCAAATACAAACCAAGAGTTACAATCACTGCGCTCTAACGTTTATTTATTTGGTGGTAGCTACATGAAGGGAAAATATCTGAAGAAATTTTCAATAGAGCATTAAGGTTTTTATAATCGGTATTTTCTTCGTCAATTATTATTAAGACCATCACATAAAGGCGATGAAATAGGCATGTAATACGCAAGGGAAAGATAAGAACTGCATACAGAATTTTAGTCAGAAAGCTTGAAGAGAAAACATCACTTTGGAGACCTGGATGTAAATGGTAGGATAATATTAAGATTGATGTTAGATATAAAGTGAATGACAGTGTGTATCAATTCATGTGGTTTAAGACAGGGTATAGTGGCGTGCTCTTGTGAACACGATAATAAACCTTCGGCTTCTATAAAAGGCGGGTGTTTTTATTAGACGTGATTAGTAGGCCTGTTTCATCTCAAGGAGTTGCTTAGTAAAAGGGAAATTTGTTTTCATTGCAATCTGAATACAGTGCCAGAAATGTAGGCAATTTTGGACATTATCAATTTTTTAAAGTCTTAACTACGTTTCGATGGATGGACCTTCCTTTGTTTTCAGATAAAAGGGGAGGTGGGATGCACCTGTTCTGTTAGATCCGGTAGACCGAGCTGTTCTCCGAAGGAATATCCATCCTTCGAAACGTAGTGAATTTTAAAGTTTTAGCATACTTAAGACAACAAGAAAGAAAGTTGTTTAAAAAGACCATCTGCTTCAGTGCGACTGCTCGCGGAAAAAGAAACCGGTTATTTCACTGTTTCGTATGAAACCGTCTTAACCAACAAAGCAAGTAACTTGTTATGCTTTATTCATAAAATGACACACATTGCAGTCAGATGTAGCTCGAAGACTGATTTAACTTTGGACATATACATAAATACAATGTATTCAATTTATAAGAAAGGCCAAGGCTTTATAAGGGCAGCACGCGTGACTCTTTGACATTCTGCCTACACTTCAAAACGCGTGTCGTTATTTCGAATCCGCACATGTTACGTCATGGGATGCTGATCTCAGACAAGGCCTCAGTGCGTAATAATTG